TTGTGTGTGTGTGTGTGTGTGTGTGTGTGTGTGAGAGTGTGTGTGTGTGTGGATTAGTGTGCATATATGTGTGTATGTGTATGTGTAGATATGGGTGCGTGTGTGTGGGGGGAGGGGGGTGGGTGCGTGTGTAATCTACACGGATCCCCCCAGCAACGACGTGGTGAAGTATTGAGGAGGTTTGGTGTGACATCCTGATCCGGTGGTGGTGATATCGTTATCAGATGCCTTGTTAACATGTTCTTACTTGACTCCAAGTGTGAGTGCCTACTGCTCTCATGTTGTGCTATTGACTGTTTTTATCACAATGAGATGCTTGAGTGTGCTGAAGGTTGATTTGATCTGGCAGGTGATCTGCCTCGCCGAGGTGGCGATTCCAGAGGTACTGGCTGAGTTGTGTCGACATAAGCTGGCTTCAGGCGATCGACAGAAACACGTTCTTCTCGGTATCCCATATGCATTCGGAATGTCTTATCTCCTGAAGCAATGACTTTGTATGGGCCCTGTGGTACGGTTGTTGCAAGAGACCGGGGTAGAACCATGGCGAATGAAAACAAATTTGGCTGTTTTTAAACCCTATCCGTACGCCCTGGGGTCATTTTGTACCACAGGGGTTGTATTCTTTACAATTTATAATGCTTTTAGTTCGAAGATCTCTTTGAAACTTTCAGTATTTCTCAAAAAATCATTTTGACAGACTGCTAGGCAAAGTGTGGGGGATCAGATTAACGAGTAAATTCCCTCATTGGAAAGTGATGGCACAGAGTACTCCAAGTCGTATAGATACGATAGTATAATACGACGTACGGATAGTGGGGTTAATGAAGCAGGAAAATGAGATATAAGTTGTCCATGTTGAGTTGTAGGAGAAGTGGAAAAGTACTTTATGAATGATCGTGTGTTTGCTAGGTGTTTAGTTGCTGTGCGTGTTGATGGGTCTTCAAGGACGAAATCACCGGTGCGGTAAGGGGCTCGCCGTACATCATTTCCGCAGACACCTGCATGTCTTCCTTGGGAGTTTTTCTCACTCCAAGCATAACCCACGGCAGTTCTTCAATACATTTGGCCCTTTTAGGCATGGCAGGCCTTGAGAGCTGTTTCTAAGTCCTATGGAACCTTTCAACCAATCCGTTTGAGACAGGGTGGTATGCCGTAGTTCTGTGTATTTTGACGCCGAGTTGTGTTGCCATGTTACTCCATAGGGCAGAGGTGAACTTGGGTCCTTTGTCTGAAGTTATGTCTAGAGGCACTTCAAAACGGGATATCCAACAATTGACGAGGGCCTTGGTGCATTCTATTGTTGATGTTTCTTTAAGTGGCACCGCCTCTGGCCAGCGAGATGATCTGTCGACAATGGTGAACAAATGCGTGAAACCACCAGTTGTAAAGTAATTGGGTCAGTAAAACAGCATTGTATCTCAACGCAAAGAGAAAATGGAAGTTGCGGTTGGCATGATGCCATTGTGTGTGTGTGTGTGTGTGTGTGTGTGTGTGTGTGTGTGTGTGAGTGTGCGTGGGAGTGTGAGTGTGTAGATATGTGTACCTGTCTCTGTGCGTGTGTGTGTCTGTGTGTGTGCGTGT